GGTCATCCAGCTAGCGAGAGGCCTGAAGAGGCTCATTTCCGTATTGGTGCAACATCAGCCCTCCGGCTTCTCCCACCAATGCTGTGCCTGCTCTTTTGAAGGAGTCTAAAGTCCCCTCCCTGATCCCCTTTTCATTTGAATGACGGAGCTGCCCTCTCTCTCCCTCTTTCCATACCCAAGCAGTCTGAGTTCTTAGCAGCAGACTTGCCTCCTCTTGGTCACTTCTCTGGATTTATTCCAGCTCTGTGATGAATCAGAGGGGCAGCAACTCGCCCTGTCCTGGCCGCGGTAACCATCGGCCGTTCCTGAAGCTTCCCAGGTGGCTCCGGCCACTGTCCAGGAAGGGCGTGAGGAGGAGGCCCAGGCTGCAGGAGGTGCTGGAAGGAGGGAGGAGGAGGGATGGAAAGACTCCCGGGAGAAGTGAGACCCAGCAAATTCCTTACGGGGCCGGGAACCTACAGTGCCGCCCCCGCACGCTAGCACCCATTTCCGTCATTCTTAACGAAAGAGCCAGGTACTGGCTGACGACAACCATTAGTGCCCCTTACAGTCCACGAAGCACTTCGCCATTCAGTGTTTCAGTTGGTTCTCTGACAGCTGAGAAGACGGGGTAGGGGTCGGGGGGCATCCAGAATAGAGGCTGTGGAACGAGGACTGGGTCTGGTTCTGGCTCTGTCATTGTCTCCATCTCTCTTTCGTGATGGGATTTAGAGGTTATTAGGTTGCTTCCCATTCCACGGGTGGTCAGCAGTGAAGTTAGAATGAGACCCGAGGTCCTGCTGTCTGGAAGGGGCCTCACGAGGAAGGAAGGGAGAGGCAGGACACTGGTTAGGTGCTCTTTAAGCCCCGCCTAGGAATCTGCTTGTTTCTGTGGACTTACGACAAGCTTGCTTTTCCTCAGTTTCTTAGTAAAGTATCTTTTTGAAAGATAACTCCCTTTTTGGTTGAACTGAGAGGGAAAAGGAGTCCTCTACGCCTCCATACCTTGATGCAGGCTAGGTGTTCTAGAGCAAGTGTGGGAGCAGCCCAAAGAGAGTTCAGGCCATGGACCGTCAGCCCCTTCCTGCTGCGGTTGAGAGCCTAACGGCCTTTCTGGCAGGCTTGGAACTGGACCTACACCACCTTCTGCCACACTAGCCAGGGCAGGGGGCAGGGGGCAGGGGGCAGTGGGCAGGGCTACTATTTTCAGCTGTGGCTTTGTCAGCCCCAGCACTGTGACTCCAGCCTTCCTCACTCTCTGCCTTAGAGAAACCCAAGGCATGGGTCCCCAGCAGAGTGACAGAGTTGACTTAGCCCAGCCAGAGACCTAATGCTACTTTGTGGAGAGGGGTGGCCTCAAGGCCCTTTGGCCCAGGACTGTCAAAGGTAGGTCTAGGCCAACAGTGGGGTGAGGGAAAATGGAGACAGTTGTTGGACTGGAGGAGAGGCCTGGTGACAAACTCCGTCCTGACTCGGAGTCTGAAGACACGGGCTCTGACTGTAGGCAAGTCTCTTCCTTTCTGTGAGCCTCAGTCACCTTGTCTGTGAAATTGCCTCTCAGCTGGTTTACCCAGTAGGAAATACCTACGTGCTCTTGCTTGCTTGTGATCATTAAGTAGGATGACGCAGGTAGGCGGTGATTAGTGTGGGCCTGGCCCCACAGTCAGTCGGTGCTTAGTAAGTGTGGTACTGTCGCGTATGGATGATCACAGCATCCTGAGGAGCCCAGCTGATTCTGGGGGGCTGTGTCACTTTCCCAAGTGGAAACTCCAAGGAGGCTGCAGTTCTTGAGGTTGTTGCAGAGTCCAGAGGTACTTAGGTAGATGAAGAACCAGATTGAAGATAGAGGGTTTGACTCAAAAGGGAGATGGTCCCCGGCTGAAGGCTGTTGTAGGTGGAATCAAGAAGTGGGGAGCAGGAGTAGGGCCTTGTTTAGGGCCTGGGCTCTCCCAGCGGTTGCGAGGTAGGACTAATTACGTCCAATAATTCCTGGTCCAGGATCAGCCTGTGCCAGAGTTTGCTCTGGATCCTTCCTGCCTCCCTTGGTGCCATCCACCCAATTTGTCAGTCTCTGGATCTCAAGTTTCATCTTCTCCAGGGTCTCCCTTTGTCTTCTTGGTTGTGGGGCTTCTTGCCTAGCCTTCCCAAGTCTGGGCGTGTTGCTTACGGGACTAGAGACTGGCCCTGCTCCACGGTCATATGCAGTCTGGTCTCCCACTAGACCACGGACCCCTTGAGGGCAGGGTCTGGGTCTGAATTGTCTCTCGGCTCCTGTGTCCAGCGTGGAGCTTGCAGTCCTTGGGTCCTGATCAGAGGGCCTGGCCCCTCTGGACTTCAGTTGTTAGTCTGGCCAAGGCAGCGCAAGCCTGAGCTGGCCCCTCTCCCTCACAGGTGGCATGGGTAGGGGTGGGGGTGGGGGCTGAATCAGAGTATATGGCTCCTTGTGTCCAGCTTCCTCTTCCTGGCTGGCCCAAGGCTTGGGAACAGTGGCTGCCTTTCTGGGGCAGCCAGGGAGCCTGGCCAGAGTATGCTCTGTCGGGCACTGTCGGCTCTTCAGCAAGCAAGCCCTGGTCCTCCTCTTAACCTAGAGAAGGCCCCGGGTTATTGGTGTTATTCTTGGCGGACCACCGGGCCCCTCAGCAAACAGGGAGGCGAGTGTGCACCCGGCCTGGGCCTGTTTGTGTTGGCCTCGCCAGGCGGGGGATTAGCTCAGCTGGGCTGCTAATTGCCTCCGAAGTGCCGGCCGGGATGCTGACAAGGGCTGGGCCTTTAGGCCCCTCCTCCCCGGCAGGCACTATGCCAGGCTTGGGGGCCCGGCCCAGGAGGGCCCCTTCTCTCCCCTGTCAGCGCCTGCTTGGCCTAGACCCTTGAGATACGGGCAGGGGGTCACCAGGGCTGGCGGCTCAGGAAGGAGTGGGGGGAGATGCCTATGAAGTCATTGCCTGGGCCAGGGCAGGCCATGCTCCGCCCCTTCCCCCACACCCCTCAGACCCCCTCCCCCTTTCTTGAGTCAGACGCCTTCTGAAGCTCGGCACTTTCTCCTTTTGCCAGGAAGCTGCTGGGCTCCTCTGCCCAGATGCCCTCTGGTCCCTCAGCCCTGTCCTCTCTCTCTCCTTGTGTGTTTCCCTCTCTGTTCTTGTGTGCCAGTCTTCCCAACTTTCTGCTTTTTCCTTACTGTCTTTCTCAGTCTTTCTCAGCCCCTCTCAGTTGCCCGGAACGCTGTACTTTCTACCCCTCTGCCTGCCTGTGTTCTTGCCCCTCTCTTGGCCCAAGACCTCAAACTCTGCCTCTGGTCTCCCCAGATGTCTCTTGGGCCACTGGCTGTCAAGCAGGGGCTGAGAAGGACGTCCGCTTTATCACAGCCTCACAGCCTTTCTCAGAGACCTTCAGGCCTGACTCGTGAGGACAGCTGTCAAGAATGGATCTGGACACAGGCTCTCTCCATGAGCTGACCTTGCCTCGGAGTCCTGAAAGCCTTCCATCCTCATAGGCAGAGCCCCTGGGCCCCACTACATGTGCTTCCTACAGCCCTGGAGCTCCTTCCTCCACTCCTTGGCCCCTGTTTCCTGTCCTAGCCCTGCTTCTCAGCCACATTGAGACCTGGGTTCAGCCTCTTCTGCTGGTGCCTAAGGGCAGCTTTGCCATTGCCTTGCTTGCTGCTGCCTGGGTATCCTGACCCCTGGGTTCTCTTGTCTCTGAGGACCTGGGGATTTCTGTCCTGAGGCATCTGTCGGTGTCTGATTTGGGGGATGGGGCCAAAGTAGGATCACCTGTCTTTAGCTCCTAACTCTCTCTGATTTCTTCCTTGTTTCATCCTTCTCTGGCCTCAATTTTAGAGCCACCTTCACTGCCTCCTACATTCCTGAAAAGGGAAGAGAAACATTCATAATAGTAGCTGCCATTTGTTGAGCTTTACGTATTTTATTCAACATCCCCAAGAAATAGGTTCTATTACTATTTAGCCCCACTTGAAGTTGGAGCAGGGGGAATAGCCCCCTATTAATATCAGAGGAAGAAAATGAGTCCCAGAGAGGGATGATGCGTTACCCAATTTTCCATACAGTGAAAAAGTGGCAGCACTGGAGTCTAACGTTCGGTTGTAAAACCTGGGTCCTTTTCCCAGTTCTGGGAGATGGTTGGGTATGGAGACCATCACCTCTTTGTTCAGCTGTCTTTGACCCTCTGTGTCACCAGTTTCCCACTCTTGCCTTGACCCTGATTTAAGGATGAGGTGTCCTTTTCTCTCCACCCATCCTCCAGACTCTTCTCTCCCTCCATCCTCCAGACTCTTCTCTCCCTCCATTGTCTCCTTTCCCAGTTCTTCACTAATCTGCGTGCACCTCTGCTGTCTTAAAAGCACTTGCTTCAGCCATTCTATACCCCACTAAACTTTTGGAAAGCCAAGCACATAGCAGCCTAACTGCTTCCAGGCTGGTGTGAATTTGCTGCAGGGGGCGGGGACTGGGGGGACAACAGGGCATGTCTCCCTTGGTAAGCACTTCACTAGGCTGAGGTTCCTGAGAAGCCACCTTGGGTCTTCCCATCAGCTCTGGCTTGAGTTACATGCAGTTTTCCATCCAGACTTCTCATCCTGACCAGGCTCCAATTCTGGAGTGGACTCCTAGCCACAGGCCTTGGATCCCTGGCAGGAACTAAGTTCTTTTCGATTTGGTCTTTACCTTCTCAGTTGGCACCCACTTCACCAGACCCTCCTCTGTCATTGTATTTGTTTATCCTCTATATCAACTCTCAAGAAGGGTTCTGAGGCCTTGGCTCAGGCCAAGGCTTAAATAGCTGATTGTGGCTCGATGAAATGCAGGTATAGCCTCATGTGTTAAAGGGGGATTCCAGACAGCATGCAGGTGGGTTTTTTCTGTGTGGCCATCAAACCAGTAGTTCAGACGGAAAGAGGGCCAGGAGGGTCCTCATATCTAGAATTCGTTAAGTAGTTGTCTGTGTTTTTCAGTGTCCTTCCCCATGTCTCTCTCCTCCCTTTTCTACAAAAGAAGTCACTTTCACAATTACAAGATAAAGAAATAATCATTTTATCGTGCATCAGACTATTTCATGGGGGTGTCACAATGGCAAGGGGCCTAGTATAAAAATTAGAGGATGGGGTATGGGCAGCAGAGGGGTAGCAGCATCCAGAGCTGGGGCTTATCTAGCCCTTGGCCTCAGAGGACATCACCTTTGCCTTGTGGAGACTAATGGAGAGAGTTTCGGGCAGGACTCAGAACCTCTGGCCAGCTTCCAGAGTGGGTGGGCTACGTAAGGCATGGGCTGGTTCCTCCTCTTTATTTGGGACAGTTGGGAGCTGGGTGTTTCCAAGGAAGCTCCATTTTCATGTAGCTGTGGGTCCCTTTGGCCTTTGGGGTGCTGGTGATGGTAGGACTGGGCAGAGGCTCCTAGATTCTAGTCTGCTTTACAGAGGCCATACCCTTCAGAACCCCAGGGTGGTCAGCTTTGAGAGAGCCCCCAGGCAGGTGGAAAGGTGAAGCCTGTGAGCGGACACAGACCCTCTCATTTTTTCCTGGGGCAGTATCCATAATACCAGCATCCAGCCTGGACCTTCCAGTCCTCCGGCTCTGAGGACACGATTTGGGGGTGGGGGAGAGTGGCTCTGCCCTGTCTCTGGAGGGGGAGGGGTCTCCCATGCTTTCTTTGTCTGGGTCTGGCCTCTGCCAGTGAGGGATAGCATTTTCCCTGGCACTGAGCAGACAGCTGAACAGAGCCTGCCAGAGGAGCAGTGAGTCCAGCTGGGCCGCTGTGGGGACACTTAGTGGGCTCAGCTTTCATCCACATCAGAGCCTGCCGGCCCCAAGATTACCCCTCATTCCAGTGTGGCTGCAGCATCTCACTTGGTTTTGGCCTTCTTGGATGGACGTTGAGCAGAGAGTTTGGCTTGGGGCCAAGGGTGTTGACCCTTTCTTCGTGAGGAAGCCAGCACCAGGAGGCACAAACCACAAGGCCTGGAGGAGAGCTTCTACAGGCCGGAACCCATATTCTCAATCTGGGACTTTGAATTCAGACATGGAACCCTGGAACCAAGAGCTCGGGGTCTGAGAATCTCCAGCTGGGGATCCCAGAGCTCAAGATCTCGAACCAGGAGCCTGGGGCCCCATTAAGGGGGCAATTTGGAGACTGAGCTGACAGCGAGCTCCTATGGTGGTTGGGAGCCCACCTGTGAAGCAGCAGTGGGGTCAGGCCGAGTCTTGCTGTGTGCATGTCCTGGTCACAGAAGTTTGGGCTGTGCTCCTGCTGGTTTGGCTGGGGCGCAGGGCCAGGCCCAGGCTGCTGGTGATTTCTCTGGGGGGCTCTTCTTCAGTGCCCAGGGTACCTGGGGGTAGGGTCGCCTCAGCTGCGGACACCTCACTTCGCCAGCCTTCTAGCTGTCCATCTTCTGCGCCCTGGAGCCATGTGGCCGCTTGTCTAGCCTGTGGTCTGTGGCTTCTGCTACTTCCTGGCCCCACTTCCTCCCCAAGGAGACCTCCAGTTCCTGGGCCTTTGGGTAAGGCGCCCAGGAGGAACCTTGTCTGGAGGGCTCTTCTGGCTGTGCTTCTGATTAGCGTGCTCTGGGACCTGGCTGAGCAGTGCCCCCTTCTGCTGTAAAATGGGCACAAGCATCTCTGTCTTGTGCACCTCCCAGGACTGTTGTGATCGTCCTATGGGATGGCCCAGTACAGGGCTCAGACCATGGTATTTGCTCAGTAAATTCGGTTCAGTGAGTGAAATAATGGGTGGGACAGGGCTTTTCCACTGGCCGGGTTCCTCTGCATGTGTGATGTCCATTCTTCGTCTCACAGACGAGTGGCACTGTGAGGAGACACGTCAAGAGGTGTCGCTGCAAAGGCCTGGCTGGGACCTCTGGTCCAAGATGGCAGCTGGTGCTCCTGTCTGGGAGTGACCAGGGAGTGGCGGCTTTGACTGGGGGGGCTGGGTGGGCTGGGCTCCAGGGTGGGACTAGCACCTTCCCTTGCCCTTGTCTCGCCTGCTCTTCCTGCCTGGAAGGTCCCACAGAGACTGAACCTCCGGCCGCCCATGGAGGGCCAAACGAACCCTTTGCCCTTGAGCTGGTATCTGCCCGTTCCCTTTCCAGGGGCTTGGGAGACCAGGCTGAAGCTGCCAGGGGCCGGTGTGTACGTGCAGGGGTGCAGCTTCCCTCGAGATGGCACTGATTTCCCCCTGCCATAGGGCCGCCTCCTTCCCTACATGGCAGGGTCAGTAGGCATGTGACCAACGCTCCTCATTACCCAGCTGAAGTCTGTGAGTAGAAAAACAGATGCAGTTAACAACCGAGTGGTCAGCAGTGGCCACATGTGGACAGCCAGAGGCACGAGCGAGATCCCTTTGGTCAGTGGCGGCCACAAAGGCCCAGGCTTCGAGGAGGCCCTGGCTGGTGCCCTTGGGGCCGCCCGCCTGGTTTCAGCAATAAATAACAGGAGGACCCAAAAACCAAACCAAAACAAAAAGTACAGCCAGTATCCCTTGGGGTAGGTGTGGGGGCGCTGTTTAAATTACCGGCCTCTCTCGGGCCGCGAGCTGGTTGCTGGCGCCGGGCTGACGCTGCCTGTCACCGGCACGTGTGCAGCTCCACCAGCCGCTGGCACTGCCGGCACTTGACGAAGCAGCACCAGTGGAATTTGCAGCTGCAGCGCTCGGCCAGCTCCACCTGGGCCGTGTGGAAGCCCCGGCCGCAGCACAGCAGCTCGCAGCCGTCGATGGCCTTGGACGTCTTGTTGCACGTGCGGCCCCTCGTGCCCAGCACGCCGCTGCGCACGTCCTGCTCGCAGAAGTCCGGGCTGGGCTCCAAATACACCAGGTCCTCATCCGTGTGTGGCTTGAACTGTGCGTTGCGCGGCACCAGCGCCCTGGAGGAGCCCACGCGGCGTGGCTCCACCTCGGTGGCGCCGTCGAACTTCTCTTTGAGTGCGTGGCCCACCTGGCGGAAGGGCGGCACGGCTCGCCAGCACGTCTTTACCTCACAGGAGCCCGACACCCCGTGGCACTTGCACTCCACCCGCATGTGTGTCAGGATAGCCTGCAGGGGGCGGGGAGGGGAGAGGGGCCATCAGGAGACGGCCAGCGGGGAGGCTGGGGCGGGGCCGGGACCCGGGGCGGGCCGGGGACGGGAGCACGGGCGTCCTGCTTCCGGAGTGAGCACCCGCTGTCTGCCAGGGTGGGCTGGTGGGCTGTGTTGGGGACGGTGGGAGACGTTGTCCCTGCCCTTGGGGCACTTGCAGTGACGGAGGAGAAACCTCCCGAAGGGCATCGTTCTGGAACTGCGTGGTGAGGGACACGATGGGGGGCAGGACGGGAGAGGTGCGTTGAGTCTGCAGGGGAACCTCGAGCAGGAGCAGGAGCAGGAGCAGGAGCAGGCAGCCAGTATCCTAGTTAACGCACACGATCTGTGCATCGACACGAGGTTCAGATCCTGGCTCTGCTGCTTATTAAGGGGGGGTGTGTGTGTCGTACGCGCTTCTGTGACACCTGCTTACCTGTCTGCTCCCCCACCCGCCGCCCCATACCCCTCCGGCCCACGCAAGTGCTGGTGGGAGCCTGCGCAAATGTTCCCGAGTGGTGCGAGGGTGGGAGAGTGTTCCAGGCGCCCTGCCCAGCCCGCCCCCGCCCCGGTGGTGGTAGTGGCAGGAGAAACGCCACCCTACCTTCCTGCCAGCCTCGTTGTTGTGGAGGTTCATGAGGGCACGGCTGGATGAGGCCCCCTTGCTTCTCTCCCGCACGTCCACGAAGGACTGGGAGAAGGCCACGCCATAGGCGATGTTGTCCGAGCATCCCGACCACTGGAAGCCTGTGCAGGGGGTGCACAGTGGCCGTGGTGAGTGAGGGCGGGGCCGCCCCCCTTCCCCCCCTCCCGCCCCACCCCACCTCCCACACTTACCCTGCGGGCTGACTCCATGTACCGTCCGGTCACAGCCACACTTTTCCAACTCCCCGCTGCTGCATGCCCGCGTCACCGCGAAGGCCACACCTGCTGAAGAGATGGCGTACACGAAGGCCGCCTCCCGGGTCCCTGTGGGAGGCAGAGGGAGGGCAGGGCTGGGTCCCGGGGCTCCGCCCGGCTCCTTCCTTTGTCGTGGGGAGTGGTACCTGGGAGCCCCTCGAGGCAGGCACGTGGAGACGGGGAGGCAGGCCTGCCTGACGGCTAGGAGGTACCCCGGCCGTGTGTGTGTGTTCTGCCCGGACCAGCCACCGACTGCGCTTGCTGCGTCCCAGGCGCTGCTCGCCGTTGCACGTGCGCCGATCGGCTCGTGTGCACAGCACCCGTGAGGTAAGGAGTCTACGGACGGATCAGCCGCCTCGTCCCGGGTCACACAACACATGGCTGAGCAGGCAGACAGTCCAGCCGCAGTGCCCCGACTGGACTGAGGACACCGTGGTCACAGCCTCTCTCCAGGGCGCGTGGTTAACATTAACATCATCAGGGGAGACAGGACAGGTGCACAGAGCGGAGCCGACTTACCGAGACTGCCAGGGCCCTGAAACAGCAGAGCCGGACCACCAGCCCAGGTCTGGCTTCTTTTAAAACCTGCATTCTATTCATGCCTACCCCCCAGCTGCCCCCCGTGCCCCGAGGGGGTCCCCCTGCACTATCAACCCGCCCCAGCCCTTTCTGCTGAGGCCGTTTTGCTTCCTTCCACCCCTGTGACAGTAAATCGTAATAGTGACAGTCCCTACTGTTTACCAGGACCAGTGCTGAGGAGAGGATGCCCCCTGCTACTGGGGAGCCGTATTTGTGCCCATTTCACAGATGGTAAAGTGCGGCTTTGGGGAGAGGAAGCGATTTGTTCCCAGTCACCCAGCAAGGAGGTGACAGAACCAGGACTCAGACACAGGTCCGTCTGCCTCTGCTGCCTGTTCTTCCCCTTCTGCCCCATGACTTCTTAGCAGTCCTGTCTTGGTGCCTGTCCTCGCCCCCTGCCTGAATGGGTGTTTTTATCCTCCTAGGAACTGTGCCTCAGGGTGTAGCTGCTGCGGAGCCTCTTTCTGGGCCTGTGGGTGGTGCTGGTGGTGCGTGTAGTGCACGTGCACGTGGCTCGCTGGGTGTGTGACCAGACAGGCCCTGCTCCTCTTCTGGGTTCTGTGAGGGCCTCTGTGTGCCCGTGACTGTCCTTCTGTCTCTTGCTGGAGTGTCTGTGTCCGCAGGAGTGGAGGGGGCAGGTTTTGGCCCCGTGGTTGGCAATTACCACCGTGACACAGGCCTGTGCTCTTGGCTGCCCCTGGGAGCAGTTGCCGTGGTCAGATGGAAACAATCACCTCCTCTGTGCCCACGTCTGTGGACAGGCAGCAGAAGCCGAGCGCTGGGGTGGGGGGCGGCTCAGGCCCCGGTGGCTCCGGACAACCTGTCCTGTGTTCCGCCCTTGAACCGGGGGTACCGCCCACCACCCACTCTCCACTGCCCACCCTCTGTCCTGGCTTGGCCATTCTGGGCCAGCATCGGGGGCCTTGGCTGGAGCCACGGGACCTCGACGGCCTGAGGTGGAATCCTCTCCAAGTTAATCGAGGCTAATAACAGGATCATGTTGGTTGGTTTTGTGCTGTGGCCGCCCAAAGAGGGACGACTTTAGTTTCTGGTATTTCTGGTATTTCCAGGCCTGAACCAGCACAGATCTTCGCCCCAAAGACCAAGGGGGAAGGGAAAGCGGGAGATAGGGCCAATGGGACTGGTAAGGTGGCCCCAGCGCTCGGCTGGGCTTGGTCCTTACTCCTGCTTCTCCGGACTCTCGGGCAGCCCCTGGTCCTCCCTGGATATCTGGGCTCCTCTCCTCCCCTGAGTGCTGGCAGCCCTGGTGTGCAAGGTTCCCTGTCAATTTGTTCAGGGAGACCTCTGCCTCATTCCCCAAACCAACATCCATCTACCAGGACTCCAGATCCCCCTTGCCCCAGCCTTGGGTACAGGACCCTCTGGTTTTCTTAGCTTGGGAGTGGGCCTGAAGGAAGAGATCGTGGAGGGAAAATCATAAGAGCTAAAGCTTATAGAGAGCTCCCTCTGTGCTGGGCACTGACTAAGCACTTCACATAATTTATATACTCTTCACCCCAACCCTATGGAGAGGAGACTTTTCATCCTCTTTTTATAGACGAAGAAGCTGAGGCACCGAGTAGTGAAGCAACTTGACCAACAATACCCAGTCAGGAAGCGGCAGAACTAGAATGTGAACTCAGGAAGTTTGGCTGCAGAGCTTTCAACCTTGACATTGTCCTCGTGGAGCCCAGAGCCTGCAGGAATACACCTGCAGTGGATCGCTTCCTACCTCCTGTGTGTGAAGCCAGGATGGGCTTTCTTAGGTCTGCCCTAAATCTTAAGTTCTGTAGTACAAGTTCAGTCCCATTTGTGGGCTCCTTACCGGGAGACGGTGAGCAGTTGGCCTGTGCTCCACACCGGAGGCCCCAGAAGGCCTGGAGAGTGTGGCCAAGCCGCCATGCCCCTAAGGCCCATAGCAGTGGCACCAGCAGCCTTTTCTAACTGGCTCTGGGTCCCAGCCCTTTGACTCCAGGGCTGTGGCCCCTCCTTGCTCCTCTCCTCTGCCTGGGTGTCCAGGCTGGAGCCTTGCTCACTAGCGGGGCACCTGGCAGAGACTGCCATGGCAGAAAGGGACTGTGGCGTTCCTGCAAGCCTAGCAGAGGGAGATCCCCACATGTCATAGAAGATAGCTGCCCCCTGGTCGGGGCGGGGGTGGGGAGGGGAGGGTTGCCTGTTCCAGCTGCAGCAGGGAGACAGATCTGGCTTTGTCCTCCTGGGACATCAGAGCTGGTGGTAAGGCAGACCCCTCGGTGCCGGTAGCTGCCCTGCAACCTGCTTGGCCTTCCATGAAGCCATTTGCCACACCCCACACCCAGCTCCTTTCTTCCTCCTCCCCGTGCTCCAGCGTGTGGAGCGGAAGTGGCTCTGCTGGGTCCCACCTCAGTGGCATCTTTTCAAGGTGCCAGGGCTGCCTGGGGTTGGGAATTCAGAGGGGTCCTGTGGACCCAGTAATAGCTCCCCTTTCTGAGGGCCTACTAAGTGCCAGGGTCCTTTCCAAGTGCTGTCTATGGCTCACCACAAATGGGGCACCCAGCTCTCTCCAGCTCTGTTCTGGAGGAAGGAGTGAGGCCCTGGGGTCCAGGTCCCTCAGCCGGTCAGCGGCTCAGCGGGAACCAGAACCGAAGCCTGGGTGAGTCAAAGCCCGTACCCTTCTGAGCACGTCACGTGCGATGCCCCCCACGCCCCCTGCCCCGATGTGGGAAGGAAGGACATTCGAGTAGGAAGAAGTGTTTGGAGAAGAAGCCGTGGATGCCGAGTTGGGCTTAAAAGAAGCCATGGACATAGTGGTCCCCTGGGCACCAGGCTGGGGTCCTGGTGGGAGGGCCATTTGAGCATAACTCACGTGTTTCCAAAGCAGACCCAGGGAGGGAGCCCTGGGAGGTGGGGCAGGACAGGCCCTGGTCTTTGAGAAAGACACTGCCCTGTGCTCTCCCCTTCCCTGCCCCCAGCCTGCCCTCCCAGTTTCCTTTGTTCTCTTAGCTACAAAAGCTCACCTTTTCTTGAAACCACCTCTAGGAAGCCTCTTTGGATTTAAGAGATGATGTAGCACAGAGCAAAGAGTAAACTAAGACTCTTACTAGCGGCGTTACTGTCCTCTCTGAGCCTCATTATCCCAACTCTAACAAGGGCGAGATAGCGCTGCCCAGACAGGCCAGACCCCACGCTTCTCCCACATTTCCTGCCCTCTGTCTTGGACCTCCCAGGGCTCCTGGTGCTCTCGCTGGCCTGCCTGCCCCCAGGATCAGAAATCAGGCTGCAGGTGGTTTTATCACCTAAGTGTATTGCTTGTTTGCCTGGCGAGGCTGTCCCCATACTTCTCTTTTGCCCCCTAGCACCCAGCACAGGGTGGTGCACAGAGCAGCCCTTGGAGACAGGGATGAGTATTGGGAGAGTCTGGATGCTCAGGCAGCAGGACTGAGATCTGTTCCTTGCCCTGCTACTCCCTAGATGTGTGATTGTCAATTTTCTTGTCCATAGAACGGGGGCTGATGAAAGCACTGACCTCAACAGGTGGTTATGGGAACCTAATGAGGTAAAATACAGAACATGCTTAGTCTAGTCCCTGGCACATAATGGGCACTTGAGACATATTTTGTGATTATTGTCGTGATTAATGCCATTTTATTCATTTGCAAACAGGGATCATCAGGGTGCTTATACCCTGAAGGCCAGGCAGTCAACTGTGTGTTTGCCATCGGGCTAAAAGCTTCCTTAGGGCAGAGACACTTCCTCCCTTGCTTGCTCCCTCGCCAAACATTTATTGATCACCCACTGCAAGCCCAGTCCTATGCTACACTCCAGGGAAAACGAGGTAGATTTGTCCTTAAGGAACTCCCAGTGGCGGAATGTCTCTGGGAACCCACCCCAGCCCCCCTATAACTTAATCTGATGGCACCTAAAGGCTGGCCTGGAGGTCACCCAGAAAGAAGGCATGTTCTCACCTTCCCTGGGCCCAGCACAATGCCAGTATGGAGGATCAAGGTGAGAAGACAGGTTTCGGTAAGTCACAGCCTAGGACTGAAAAGTGTTTACTTCTTAACTCTAGTCTGATGTTACAGTCAGTAAGGTGTCTGGATGATGTTAGACACTCAGAGGTTGGGAAGGTGGGCCTGGGTTTGAGTCTTCACTTTGCTTCGGCCAGTGCACCCCATCGCCTCGCTACCATGGCAGCCAGAGGCTGGAGGGCCTCAAGGCTCATTGAGTCCCCTCTCCCTTGGTCAAGGTCACAGAATGAGATGCGGGGAGGCAGGCAGAGGCACGGCATCGCCCACAGAAGGAGGGAAGAGGAGAAGAGGAGTTTGCATTGCTTTGTCCACCTCTCCCTGCCATGCTTGGGCCAGCCTGCTCTGAGACCCCAGTGTATCCTGTTCATGGTGACCTTGAACCCTGGCCAGACTCTGTGGCTTTCCCTCCTGTCCTCAAACCTTTTTTATCCATTCAGCACATATTTATCAGTGGCCTACCATGTGCAGGTGCTTACTCTAGAC